AAACTAGTTTACCTAGTTTTGCATGCTATCATTATGTCCAGAAATGAGGACTTCTACATATTTGGTGACACAATGGTGAGCTTATAAAAGGTGATGTCCTCTGACTTTTGACTTCACTCAGGTGTTAGTTCTTGCCTTCTTAAAAGTCCATCAAATAGCGCTGTCTTTGCCGCTTGGCCGTGATGATGTTCAGAACATTGTAACCCGCTCCGCTGGTTGCGCCACTGAGGTCAAAAAGGAAATCGCATGGGCCCTGTGGGCCACCGTAATTTGGTCAGGCTACTCTGAAACGCACAGCCTGCCAAATGTTGAGAGGGCAATATTATTGCCATTAATGTTAATATATAGTAGAAATGTACACATTCAACAATAAAATGTCCCAGGGCATCGTATGGAAGGATGGGTATTTAAGAAGGGGGATGATTTTTTAAGATTTTTTTTAAGAAGGGGGATGCTATTCCCCCTCAACTCGAGTACTAGATGTGAGACTAAATTTTTCCTTTTATTTTAAAACAATAAAGCAAACTTGAAGTTTTGGAAGTTTCAACCTTCCCTTAAGGTAAATCTTTGTTTGCTCAGGTATGCCCTTAGGGCGGTTCACAAGAAAGCTTTGAAGTGCTCCTATTTATTTATGATTCAGCTTATTTACTTCTTATATAATCTACTGGGATTAAAGTATCTTTTTAATTGCCTGTTTATATTTAAAGTCAGGATAGATATTTTCTGTTAGATGATAAGTCTTGGTATAGCCATCTTCAGACTGTGGATTAGAAACTAGATGGTGCATAACAGGGTTGAAGTAGCAAAAAGCAAAAATTTAACTGTCTTTTGGGTCTTATTGAAAGGAATAACACTATTTAAACCTGTATTCTAAGATTCCAAAAACAAGGGCAGCAAAATAACACATATATTTTTTTCTATTACGTGCAATAAGTAGGCTTGTTGTTTGTGACCAAAAAAACTACTGTGCCAATGTAGAGACGTGCAAACTGACTGGTGCTGGCCCTTTAAAATGTGCAGATTGCATGTTAAACATACAGATAAAAGTTGTTGTCAAAGAAAGATGAGGTTCTAAGCCATTTAGTAGTAGATAGTATTGATGACAATCAAAACATATACATTACATTAAAAAAATACCTATAATTGAGGTAAAAACATAATATTATCAAACATCGCTATATTTTACTTTAAACTATTTATATTGTAAATACCAATATTGTAACATTTCATTGGGCAATATTCTTATTAATAAAAAATTTGGCCAAATTAATATTATTTAAAAAAATTGCAATACATCGTCTTTGTTGTGTATCGGATATTGGAATGAACCATATTGCGACACATTTTATAATGCATATACCTCAGAATTCTTGCAAATTCACTCCCCTCCTTATAAGACAAAATACTATAGATAGAACACTTTACATCTTCATATCTCTCAGTGCTGCAAACAAATGTAAAAGACTAAATTATGAAAATAAGTATAGATAATCAAATGGGAAAGGTGTCTTTATCTGTATATCTGTGCTTCATGCTTATGTTAAAGGTATAGTGGAGGATGTTCTTTTTCCAGGTGGATCATCAAAATAAGTGGTTCTCCTAATTTTCATCATTATGCTCTAAATTTGTACCTGAAAGTTCCTTAAGCAAATATGTTTTTCTGTCATATAGCATGGTCTTTGACCGCATTCTAAAATTTGCATAATGCTTCAGTTAGATATTAAGAATTTTTTTTTTATTAAGTCAGTGTTGAAACAGGACCAATCTTGCTATAAAATGTATAATATAATCTATAAATGTATAATAATGTCTTACCTTTTCCCCAAAATTGTGCTACAGCACTTTATTGGCAGTTCTTTCTTCTTTGTATCCTCCTCCTCTCTATTACCCTTGACTGACTCTCTTTCTCCATTTTACAAATTATATGGGGAGGGGGCTCAACCTGTGGAATATGTCTTTGACTGACAGCCTTAGAGATAGTAGCCCATTTACACTACCCTTTTGAAACCATTCCAAGATCGGTCCAAGCATGGTAACCAAGATAACTGTTCTTTCTAAATGTCATGCACAACTAAACCAAACCGTGCCAACATGGCACAAGTTCATCAGTAG